ATAAGCAGATAAAATAAAGACTGCGAAGACGGTTTGAAAATTGAAAATATAATACACCTAGTGGAGATGGTTAAAAAAAAGTAAATAAAATACAGATGGCGTAGACTGTTTGAAAGTAGAAAAAAAAATACAGCTAGGGGACACATTTTCAAAAATGTAAATAAAATACATATGGCGTAGACGGTTTGAAAGTAGAAAATAAAATACAGCTAGTGGAGACGGTTTGAAAAAAGTAAATAAAATAGAGATTGCGTAGACAGTTTGAAAGTAGAGAATAAAATACAGCTAGTGGAGATGGTTAAAAAATAAGGAAATAAAATACAGATGGCGTAGACGGTTTGAAAGTAGAAAATAAAATACAGCAAGTGGAGACAGTTTTAAATAAGCAGATAAAATAAAGACTGCGAAGACGGTTTGAAAATTGAAAATATAATACACCTAGTGGAGATGGTTAAAAAAAAGTAAATAAAATACAGATGGCGTAGACTGTTTGAAAGTAGAAAAAAAAATACAGCTAGTGGACACATTTTCAAAAATGTAAATAAAATACATATGGCGTAGACGGTTTGAAAGTAGAAAATAAAATACAGCTAGTGGAGACGGTTTGAAAAAAGTAAATAAAATAGAGATTGCGTAGACAGTTTGAAAGTAGAGAATAAAATACAGCTAGTGGAGATGGTTAAAAAATAAGGAAATAAAATACAGATGGCGTAGACGGTTTGAAAGTAGAAAATAAAATACAGCAAGTGGAGACAGTTTTAAATAAGCAGATAAAATAAAGACTGCGAAGACGGTTTGAAAATTGAAAATATAATACACCTAGTGGAGATGGTTAAAAAAAAGTAAATAAAATACAGATGGCGTAGATGGTTTGAAAGGAGAAAAAAAATACAGCTAGTGGAGACGGTTTTAAATAAGTAAATAAAAAAAAGACTGCTTAGACGGTTTGAAAGTAGAGAATAAAATACACCTAGTGGAGATGGTTAACAAAAAGTAAATAAAATACAGATTTCACATACGGTTTGAAAGGAGAAAATTGAAAACTGCTAGTTGACACGGTTTTAAAAATGTAAATAAAATAAGGATTGCGTAGACGGTTTGAAATTAGAAAATAAAATACAGCAAGTGGAGACGGTTTTAAATAAGTAAAATAAATAAATACTGTGTAGACGGTTTGAAAATTGAAAATAAAATACACCTAGTGGAGATGGTTAAAAAAAAGTAAATAAAATACAGATGGCGTAGACGGTTTGAAAGTAGAAAATAAAATACAGCTAGTGGACACGGTTTTCAAAATGTAAATAAAATACAGATGGTGTAGACGGTTTGAAAGTAGAAAATAAAATACAGCTAGTGGAGACTGTTTTAAATAAGTAAATAAAATAAAGACTGCGTAGACGGTTTGAAGGTAGAGAATATAATACACCTAGTGGAGATGGTTAAAAAAAAGTAAATAAAATACAGATTGCATATACGGTTTGAAAGCAGAAAATAAAATACAGCTAGTGGAGACTGTTTTAAATAAGTAAATAAAATAAAGACTGCTTAGACGGTTTGAAGGTAGAGAATAAAATACACCTAGTGGAGATGGTTAAAAAAAAGTGGAGACGGTTATTAAAAATTTAAAAGAAATAAATATTGCGTAGAATGTTTGAAAGTTGGAGATGAAATATCGCAAGTGGAGACGGTTATAAATAAGTTTTAAAAATACAGATTGCTTCGACAGTTTGAAGGTAGAGAATAAAATACTGCATACTTAGACCGTTTTAATTAAGTAAATAAAATGAAAGTAGAAAATATAATACAGCTAGTAAAGATGGTTATTAAAATGTAAATCAAATACAGATTGCGTTGACGGTTTGAAAGTTGAAAAAAAAATACTGCTAGTGGAAACGGTTATTAAAAAGTAAATAAAATACAGATTGCGTGGACGGTTTGAAAGTAGAAAAAAAAAATACAGCTGGTGGAGACAGTTATAAAAGAATAGATAAAATACACACTGCGTAGACGGTTTGAAAGTAGAGAATATAATACTGATTTTTTAGACGGATTTAGAAAAGTAAATAAAATACAGATTGTGTAGATGGTTTGAAAGTAGAAAATAAAACATAGCTAGAAAATGGAAAATGAAATACAGCTAGTTGAGACAATTTATATAAAATTAAATAAATTACAGATTGCGAAGACGGTTTGATCAAAAGAAAAGAAAATACAGTTAGTGGATGGTGTGTTGGTGGACATGAGCTGTTTCCTGAAGGGTTTTCCATCGTTGTCATCTGTCACATCCTGACCAAGAAGGACGTAAAATCGGAGACCCACCGTGTCAAATGAGGGTTCCAGTGTTCCGGGGCGCGTTGTACTACAAACAAATGAAGCAGCTGAGGGAGACAATGTCTGCAGATTTATTTTTCAAAAAAAGAATTTCGAGCATTGCACTTTGAGCTTTTGAAGATGAAATCCAAAATCACTAGAGACTGTGGGTGGTTGGCGGGTGCTGTGGTGTGGTTTGCTCCTTCTTTCCTATCAAACATCTATCGTCTTTATCTCTCCACCTTCTTTTTTATGTTTGTTACTCTCTTGTAACACCTTCACTTCGGCACTTATATGACCTTACTGTCTTGCAAGTGTCGTAAAACTCTTACTATAACTTGAGCACTGGAGACTTCAAGGTGAAAAGAAACATGAACAGACGACATTTTAACGACAAATCTATCGGAAATTTGTTCACCTTTGTTGCTGAGCCTCACATTGGAGGAGGAATCTCTCACTGCAGTTGTGTGTGTGG